ATCGTCTGAATTTTGCAAATTATGCAAATACTGTTAGCAAAGTGATAATTAGCTGATCGATTGATGTTTAGCTAATCCTATACTTGAGGGCTATATTCATCATGATATCAGTTGAACTTATTGATTATCTCGGATCTATCAATGAAGTGATAATTAGCTAATCAATTGATGTTTAGCTAACCTTATATCTTTAGGAGAATATTAATAATACTATTGTAATAATGCTATATCCATTTGCTTACCTTGATGATTTACCTTTCTTTTTGTTTTCATCTTCAAAATCATCCTCTTCTGATGTCCAGTTATTATTGTTTGGCCAATCACCGTTGTCATCTCTTTTTTTCGCATTTCCAGAAATTTTCTGAATTTTTTCACCTTGTAACTACAAATAATTTAGCTATTAATTAATTATTAATTGATTAATTAGAAAGTATTGTTGATAAGGTAAATATAATATTACAATTAATTCGTTCATCATTTAATATTACAATTAATTTGTTCATCATTTAAGATGATCCAAAAATTACTCATAAGCAATAGAGGATGATAATTTTTTTTTTTTAAATTGTTAACCTACTTGTAGTTGTTTCACAGGTAAGTTTTGTTCAAGATCTGCGGTACTTGTTGCTTTAGCTATAAATTGTTGTATAGGTAAAGTAGATTGATAAATTCTTGCAACATTAATACTATCACGAGATTCAGGTCTCTAAAATAAGCATTTATAAATATTTGAAATAAATTTAAAACAATTTTCTAGTTAATCAAAAATTAAATATAATTAAATATTTGATTATTCAATTAACTAAAATAAATAAATTTAAGAATTAAAAATAATTTTTCCTGTCTAGTTCTTGCAAATATTTGTAATTTGAAATTGTTTTATGGTACTTAAAATTGTTCTAAAATTGGATAATAAGTTTTTTTTAGTTTTGCTATATTTAAGTAATACTATTAGAATGGATAATGTTAAAAATTGTAGAACATTTTTTTTTAATTGTATTATAAAAGAAGGGAAAAAAGTTAATAGCATACTGTTATAATTCAATCATTTGAGATCTCTCGGTCTCAAATATCGTATATTTAATAATTGTAATATATTGAGATCTCTCGGTCTCAAATATCGTATATCTAATAATTGAAATATATTGCTATCAATATATAATAGTAAATGCAAACCGAAGTATTAGTTGCTGCAGCTCGATAAATTTGCATTGTTGTTTGTGTTTCTTGACTTACACTTTCCATTTTTACGGTATTTTTGTTTTCTCCTACCGGTAATTTTCCGGATTGATTCAATATTCGAGTTGTATTTGGTACGATATCATCTTTTTGCTTATCCTCTCGTACTGTAAATAAATCAAAGCACTCACGATTTCAATTATCCTGATATAATGGTTAGTCTATTTATCACCAATCTGATAATACTTTAATCGAAGTACACGATTTCAAATCATCGTGATATAATGATTAATCCATTTATCATCTATTTGATGATACATACATCAAAATAATTTCAATCAAAAATATTTCATTATAATGTAAAAGTTATAATGCAAAAATTTTTTGTTTTATTTCATATAAAAAGATTTTTTTCATTAAAATTTAATTTCATTTTTCATTTTTTCATTTTCATTCATTTTTCAATTTAATTTCAAAAATCAATTAAACAAACCTCAAAAAAATAAACTTACCTGCCAGGATTTGATACTTTAGTTGTGATCTTATTTCCTTTCTCATTTCCTCTGATAATTCCTCAGCTAATTTACCATCTTGTCGTAATCGTAAATATTCCACAATTAATTCATGATTCTTTTGTATTGCTAAATCTAATGGTGTCAAAAGTGTATCCTGAAAAGAAAAAAAAATTTAATGAAATTCAAGTAATACTTTTAATGGTTTTTTTTTCTTTTTATTGCTCTTATTAACCTTATATAACATTAATGGATTGATTTCAGCATTTCGGCTACATAATAGTACCACCATTTCTAAATTTCCGGAAGCAGCAGCTAAATGTAATCCGGTACGACCATCATGATTTGATACATTTATTGATGATGGATGCGAAGAAAGCAAATATTCGACGCAATCTAAATAAAACAAAACAAAAAAAAAAAATTTATTAAACAATTAATTAATGATAAATTATGCTAATTAAAGAATATTTGTAATTATCCTTAAATTATGATTACCAATATTATCAAAATAATATAGCTAGTGATGATTGAGTGCACCTTCACAATGATGACAACATAAATAGTAATGGTGACACGATAATTTGGATAAAATAATTTGAACATATATGGATAAAATTATTTGAGGAGAATTTCTGTTGTACAACAAATAAATTATTTGATATTATTCAATGTAACATTTATGATTGTTTATATTTTATAAATGAAAATTAGCATAATTAATTACCTTTTGCACCAGCTTGAATAGCTTCATGTATAGGTAAATCACCTCGTCGATTTTGAATTTCACAACTTCCACCAAAATTTTTCAATAATTTAAGCATTCGTAATTGACCTTTTGCAGCAGCACAATGAATTGGACAACGAAGATGACGATCCTAAAAAGGAAAAAGTAAACTTAAAAATTTTATAATTTAATTAATAATGCGCGAAAGTTCAATGTATTTAATTGTAATTAATAATGCGCAAATGTTCAATGTATTTAATTGTAATTAATAATGCGCAAATGTTCAATGTAATTTAATTGTAATTAATAATGCGC